TAATGCCTATAATGTCATCGTTAAAGGAAATATGATGATAAATAAAGTTATTACTGAGCTTAGGTGAAATTTCACTGAACTTAACGACGTCTGATATAGGATGTAATTATTACAGCAGACGAAAACAGAGCCATTAATATCTTCCTTATCATAAACCCAGAAAAGTTCGTCTGCTTTTGGATGATTTTTCATTACACTTTCAACTTCGTGCTTGAGAAGTTTTACTTTAGGACACATTTCACCACGCTCTGGTGTAAAGGGTCGACACAGTTGAGGCGACTTGGCTTGTAAAATTGTCCATTTGGCAAGTGAAAGGGAAATTGTATAGTCTATAGAAGCCTTGAAGACAACTGTTTTATCATTTACTGTTAGATTTAACAACATTGGAAATTTGTTTTCGGCTTCCATAAATTTTGACCATATGTATTCAGTTTTGCATCGAGGTGTTGGAATGAATGAAAACGATACATACATCTTTTGAAAGGTAGTCTCCGTGCCGACATTTTCAGTAAAGGTACTAAATTGACATATCCCACATTTTTTGAAAGCTATGTTTTGTTGAATACGAACAATATTGTTCCGTATATCATTCTCTGTCAATTGCGTCAAATTGGTATGGTTTGTTGGCACCAATTCTAAATTGAATTTGTAACCAATAGTTAGTGCAGTTTCAAATATAGGTATGCATGTGCCTCGGATAGCAATGGAATTCCACAAACAATACAACGTCCGGCATGTGTTCTGAAAGAAATGTTTAGATCAAGTATATTTGTGACAGTATTAAACATTTAGACAGAACATCCCTTCTGCTGAGGTATCAATGTAACTTCTGCCCGGAAGCCATACAGATATAACGACCGGCCATGAGTCATTATCAATCATCACATACAAAAAGAAATCACGCGGATTTTTAAAAACAAAAACAATACAATTACCTTTATAAGCGTTGTTTGTTACAAGATATGAATGTTCGAAGTGCTGTTAAAAAAAACTTCATTTACAAAACAAAACAAACCTTAGCTTGCATTGGGCGTCTGTGTTGGTAGATTTGTCGGTGGCTGCGTTCTGTATGGGCTTTGCTGCCATGATGAATTTTATTAAAGTTAAACCACTGCTTCTTGTTGTATTTAGAATTTGAATTAGCAGTTTTGAGTTTGATCAGACGGACCAAATGAGCAGGCTTGTATGGTTCAATATTAGTGTTATAACACAATTGTATCCGCATTAATTAATTGTTTAGATGATTAAATGGAAGGGTATGTACTTCTACTTTTATTTTGTCTAACTACAAAAGCAATATACAAGTTATTATATCTTGCAGCCAACATCTAGATAAAAAAATGAAATTATGCTTACTTTAATCGGTAAATGTCTGCTCGTCAGTTATTATTTATTCAGTGTTGTCGAATGTAGAAATTAGCATGTTGAATATAATACTTACAAAGAATGTATCCAAAATCTGGTTATTTCCACATCGTCTTGATTTTATTTTAGATATATCTGAATCCAGCCTGTTGATATTGAGAAGAGTATAGAGTTGAGACAATGGGTGTTTTTCTACTATGTTCTGACAGACCTCGGTTGAAGAGAGGCCATTGCATGTAGAGCAATACAAATTTTGATAAACGTTGCGGAAAACTCTGAAGATAAAGTAACCTGTATCTGTAAGAAATGATGACACAAATGTTAATCTTATTGAAAAATTACAATAACGATAATATTTAAGTAAACGTATGTGTATTGAACTAAAGAGCCAAAGCAAATACATTTGTTGAATAAGATTAAGCTTTTTATGCATATTATGAACTCATGTATGTGCAAGTTTAATTCCCGAGAGGTGTAATTGATGTAATCCATGAGTGTCATGAACACATCAAGTATGCACTAACTATTATCAAATATTCTTCATATTATATATTCAGTGGAGCCATGTGGAAACAATGCTAGAAAAGGTCACAATTTTAATTTTTTAGTGTTAAAGTTAGTAATAAGGTCACCTTGGGTTTGTAATTTTTAAACCAAGCTGCATAATTTTTAAATGTTTTTTTTGTAAATGTCTGCTTTGAAATGCTTCATGACAAACATCTAAGCTATTGACATAATATTTTCACACAAGAACCCTTAAATAAATGTAGTTTACTATGTAATCTATATAAACCAAGTGAACCCCGGGGCAGGAACCAATTTTGAACCCAGGGGCATTATCTATAATACTTTTGTGGAGGACGCAAATGCACTGGAATGTTTGTGGAGGTCTACTAGATTATTTTACATGCCAAAACATCTAGCTCTTGGCAAAATGAGGCTTTATAAACTAAGGTGTGGGACCAATTTTGACCACAGGAGTGTGATTTATATAACTTTTGACGATGACAACAGCGTGATTCTACCTGCAGTATATCTAAACTCTTGGCATTGTCCTTCCAGATAAGGAGATTTTTAAGACATTTTGCTGTTTAAGTCTATGTCACCTAAGTTGTCGCCAGTGCAGTCATTTAAGACCCATGGACATGGCTTAAATGATATAGGTAACGTTTGTAGACGTCCACTAGGTTATACTCCATGCTTTATATCTAACCTATTGCACATAAGAAAAAAATCAAAAATATTTTCCTTTTCAAGTTTAACCCCCCCCCCTACCCTGTTCCCCCGGTCTCCTGTCCCCTTCCCCTTTGACTTTGTTGGCGATTATTATTAAATCATTAGTTTTTCTTTGAATTCCTAATCAGTTACAAATTATTTATCATTTAGTGATTAACCTGTCCGTGCTCTGTCTTTGCCCTGTCCTGTTTTTATTTGGGGTCCGCCTGGTCTCCTTGCCGCTGGTTCTTGTTGCTGGGTCATATGGGGTTGCGTTCATTGAACGCCGCCTTTCCTTGTTGATCTTGTTTATGATATTTTACATAAATTAAGTGACCCCGGGCGTGGTCATGATTTGTATAACTTTTGAGAAGGACCACAAGGTAATGCTACATGAAAAAATTCTGACCTTTTGGCATAGCGGTTTCAAAATAGACTTAAATTCATTTACCTATACAAGTCTATATAAAATAAAGCAGCCCCGGGGTTAAGCCAATTTTGACCCAAATGCCATAACTTACATTAATTCTGTAAGGAACATAATGCAATGTTACATTCAGAATGAAATAACTGAGTTCTGGGCAGAGAAGAAGATTTAAAAGACATTTTTCTAAAAAGAAATATATGCCAACAGATTGACCCCAGGGCAAAGCCATGTTTATTCCAGGGATATAAGACCCTAGATCCAAGGGGTTTTTTGTATTAATTTTGTAGATGACAAAAAGGTTATTATGTTTGCCGAATACGAGGGTTTTGAATGATTTCACTCTTGAAGTCTAATTTTTAGCTCCTGCGACCTACTTATGCATCGATCTGAAACGAGTTATAGAGCATTTGTAGAAGAACGCCTAAGGAACATTCCTTCCTGTAAAGTTTTGAAGTGGTTGTTTAAACAAGAGCTGTCAGGACATCGCGCTCGACTGTTCTCAGTACTTTACAGTTACAAGAGTCTGGATTATGTAGATTTTTTTTAAGTTTAAGAAATACCATAATTCTGTCTTAATCTATGTTTCAGTTATTGGCCTTAAATAGTGACCGCCTATTATGCTCTCACAGTGTGTGCAATTTCAACCCATTCCATTCAGTAGTTTTTCAGATACGAGTTTGCTTGTCGACACCAACGCCTGGATAAGAAAACTGGCTTTCCCTATTCTTCGAATGTAAACGACGGACAATGAACGATGGCCGACAAACGCACTACCATCACTAAATCTCACCGCTGAGCACTTTGTGCTATCATACCTGTTTGATTAAGACAAAGGTTGTCCATCTTGCTGTCATAGGTATCCCATTTCCCAGTTACATTGCATTGCTTTACAACAGAAGATTCATCAAAACATAGAACTGTCATGTAATCAACGTTTGGTGGCCGGCTGAATGCTAAAATACAATGTGACAGTACTTTAGTAGAAAAGGTACCAATGTCTAGACTTTCGGGTCGAAATATATCACGGCAAGTTTGAGAAGAAGCTGCATGTACAGTAACACCCCAATTGTATGTCCTTCTTTCACCATGACAGAAACTGCAATATTTGTTCTTATACATCACTTTTCCATCACGAGAAGAAACTGGTATTACATCTGTTATTGTTTCAGGCATATCTCCTTCACATTTGGCCTTTATTGTCATATCATTAAAAGCCGTAGGACACTTTGTTCTTGTAAAATAGTACATGCTACGTTCTGGTACAGGGGCACCAGTTGGTGTATATACAGCTGGAATGCATTTTTGTTTTACAACAATGTCCGCATCTACAAGTCCCTTTTTATCTCGGCAGCATGTTCCCTTTTCTACACATACATCATCACATTCACAAGGTTTGCAACAGGATGTATACGGTAACACACGTTTTGTGATGTTTTTCGAACACGTTTGTTCAAATCCGCAAAACTTCGCTTCCTCAATAGAAGCATTGTGATACAGTGGCGAAGTCAAAAGTATTAATAAAAAGATAAAATGACTCTCATTTATGAAATTCATCTCTTAGCTTTAAACCATTTCTGTCTTAAAGCAAACCTAAAAGTCTCCTATAAATATTTTCAAAAATAGCTGCTAAAAAGGGGGAGGTGTTTCATTAAGTTGCTTGGCAACAAAAGTCAACGTCATCAAATATATACAATCTGTAAAACATGTTTTTAATACTTATGAAATTTCACTGTGTGAAAAAAAAACACGTAACAAAATTATCAAATCTAAAAATTAAATTAATTAATTAAATAAATCAGAAAGATTAAGTATGTGACTTGTCTAAATTTAATATTAATAGTAATTTATTGTCAATTTAAACGTTTTGAATTGTTAACATGACAAGATAAAAATACGATGTTTAATCGAGTCATTCAATCCGTATCAATTTAAATTCCACAAATTAAATTTAGATTCTTCAACAAGTCAAAAACATGTTGATATGCATTGACGTTTTTTATTACCCATTTCACACTATTGTCCAGAGATATTCTTTCCAAAACCGTATGCATGTGTTATTCTGTAAATCCATAAACAAATTGAAGAAAAACCTGATATATAACTTTATTTTCAACCTTATTACACTTTTTGTACTGTTATATGAGTCAATGTCTAGAGTCTACTGAAAACATTTATTAATTGAGGCATCTGCGTTATGCAATAATAAAGTCTGAAGAAATTCGATTAATTGTTAGACTGTATTGTTGATGCTTAATAAAACAAGAGGGCCATGATGGCCCTGAATCGCTCACCTGACACAACCGCATCCAAGCACTGTCTTAAACAAGCATCATGGCCAAGTTTGATAACAACTGAGTCAAACATGTGACCTCTAGTGTGTTAAAAAGATTTTTCCATATTTGGGCAATGTGACCTAATTTTTGACCGGACACGACCCATATTCAAACTTGACCTAGAAATCATCAAAACAACCTTCCTGACCAATTTCCAGGAAATTGGGATCAAAACTGCAGCCACTAGAGTGTTTAAAAGATTTCTCTATTTTTAGCTCCTGTGACCTAGTTTTTGACCAGACATGACCAATCTTAGCACTTGACCCAGAAATCATCAAAACAACCTTCCTGACAAATTTCCAGAATATTTGAATCAATACTTCAGCCACTAGAGTGTTTACAAGCTTTTTTCTATTTTTAGCTCCTGTGACCTAGTTTTTGACCGGAGATAACCCATCTTTGAACTTGACCTAGAAATCGTTAAAACAACTTTCTTGACAAATTTCCAGAATATTTAGATGAAAACTGCAGCCACTAGAGAGTTAACAAGCTTTTTCTATTTTTAGCTCCTGTGACCTAGTTTTTGACCGGAGATGACCCATCTTCTAACTTGACCTAGAAATCATCACAACAACCTTCCTGAAAAATTTCCAGAATATTTGGATGAAAACTGCAGCCACTAGAGTGTTAACAAGCTTTTTCTATTTTTAGCTCCTGTGACCTAGGTTTTGACCGGATATGACCCATCTTCGAACTTGACCCAGAAACCATCAAAACAACCTTCCTGACAAATTTCCAGAATATGTTAATGAAAACTGCAGCCACTAGAGTGTTAACAAGCTTTTTCTATTTTAGCTCCTGTGACCTAGTTATTGACCGGAGATGACTCATCTTCAAACTTAACTTAGATATCATCTAATCAACCTTCCTGACAAATTTCCAGAATATTTAGATGAAAACTGCAGCCCCTAGAGTGTTAACAAGCTTTTTCTATTTTTAGCTCCTTTGACCTAGTTTTTGACCGGAGATGACCCATCTTCGAACTTGACTTAAAAATCATCAAAACAACTTTCCTGACAAATTTCCAAAATATTTAGATGAAAACTGCAGCCCCTAGAGTGTTAACAAGCTTTTTCTATTTTTAGCTCCTGTGACCTAGTTTTTGACCGGAGATGACCCATCTTCGAATTTGACCTAGAAATCATCAAAACAATCTTCCTGACAATTTTCCAGAATATTTGGATGAAAACTGCAGCCACTTCAGTGTTAACAAGCTTTTGCTATTTTTAGCTCCTGTGACCTAGTTTTTGACCGGAGATGACCCATCTTCGAACTTGACCTAGATTTCATCAGAACAACCTTCCTGACAAATTTCCAGAATATTTGGATGAAAACTGCAGCCACTAGAGTGTTAACAAGCTTTTTCTATTTTTAGCTCCTGTGACCTAGTTTTTGACCGAAGATGACCCATCTTCGAACTTGACCTAGAAATCATCAAAACAACTATCCTGACAAATTTCCAGAATATGTAAATGAAAACTGCAGCCACTAGAGTGTTAACAAGCTTTTTCTATTTTTAGCTCCTGTGACCTAGTTTTTGACCGAAGATGACCCATCTTCGAATTTGACCTAGAAATCATCAAAACAACTATCCTGACAAATTTCCAGAATATGTAAATGAAAACTGCAGCCCCTAGAGTGTTAACAAGCTTTTTCTATTTTTAGCTCCTGTGACCTTGTTTTTGACTGAAGATGACCCATCTTCGAACTTGACCTAGAAATCATCACAACAACCTTCCTGACAAATTTCCAGAATGTTTGGATGAAAACTGCAGCCACTAGAGTGTTAACAAGCTTTTTCTATTTTTAGCTCCTGTGACCTAGTTTTTGACCGGAGATGATCCATCTTCGAATTTGACCTAGAAATCATCAAAACAACCTTCCTGACAAATTTCCAGAATATTTGGATGAAAAATGCAGCCACTAGAGTGTTAACAAGCTTTTGCTATTATTAGCTCCTGTGACCTAGTTTTTTACCGGAGATGACCCATCTTCTAACTTGACCTAGATATCATCAAAACAACCTTTTTGACAAATTTCCAGAATATTTGGATGAAAACTGCAGCCACTAGAGTGTAAACAAGCTTTTTCTACTTTTAGCTCCTGTGACCTAGTTTTTGACCGGAGATGACCCATCGTCAAACTTGACCTAGATATTATTAAAACAACCTTCCTGACAAATTTCCAGAATATTTGGATGAAAACTGCAGCCTCTAGAATGTTAACAAGCTTTTTCTATTTTTAGCTCCTGTGACCTAGTTTTTGACCCGAGATAACCCATCTTCGAACTCGATCTGTATTTCATTGAGACAAACATTTTGACAAAGTTTGATGATGATCCAATCAAAACTGTGACTGCTAGACTGTTAACAACCCAACTGTTAGAGTGTTAACAAGCTTTTTCTATTTTTAGCTCCTGTGACCTAGTTTTTGACCGGAGATGACCTATCTTCGAATTGGCCCTAAAATTTAAAACAACCCCCTGACAAATTTCCAAAATTTGGATAAAAACTGCACCCTCAAGTGTTAAAACTTTTTCTATTTTTAGCTCCTGGACTATTTTTTGACCGTAAACCCATCTTCGAATCATTGTATTTTTAAAAAACATTCTGACAAAGTTTGATATACCAATAAAAACTTAAATGCTAGACTGTTAAAAACCCAATTGTTACGACAAGGGCCCCACGGACGGGGGAATACCCCTACCATTCGTGTCAGGTGAGTAAAATTTTTCACCAAAAAAAACTTTAAAATTTTTTCTGGTATGCAAAATCGAAAAAATATTCATTTCCAAATTAGCTTTAAAACCCATTTTTATTTTTTAATCTGTTTTTTTCTAACCTTTTTAGCTTAGTACTGAAAAAAAGGGTAATATATATTTTGTAAGGTTGGTCTTTAATAATCAAAATATATTAGGTTAGCAAATATACTGACAGTAAGCAGTTTCTGAAAACAAACTTTAGTAACAGTATCCATTCAACTTTTTTCTGTCTATTGTTCCAAAAAATATACTTCAAAGCTATGTCAATCATTTTGTCAATTTTACTCTGTTATGCTTTTCAATATATGTAGAATTTGCTACTTAATGTGTTATACAGTTTGAAGAAATATTACCGGACTGGGTTGTTTTTGACGGGTATTTAACGCCAGTTCTGAGTTTTGATGCGTTGGAATTGACCATAAAGGTTCTTTGACTGACTTGTTAATTTTTTTTCATCAAAATGTTAAATAGCCGACACTCACCAGCCAAACTGATATTATTTTGATTTAAGCAGGACAAAATAAGGGAGATCTTTTTCGAGCGGAGACTATTTCAGCTGCCGATTTTCGTTTCTGGCTGTTCTAATCTGCATCCTGCAGCCTAGGAAAACGAAATCGCAAGAAAAGTTAAACTCCATGTACCGTATAAAGCTTATTCTTCAATCATTAATTTTACAATTTAAACATACGCAACACATTGGATTGTATAGGATTAACTTCGGTGCTTGATGATAATCAATCTTCATCCTCATCCATATATGTTTTTGTTTAAGTTTCTTGCTTAACAATTTCGTTTACATAATTTCAAATTGTTTTAATTGATGTATCGAGGATATTGAATAAGAGTAGGTTCAATCTAAATTTACTACTTCTTTAAACTAATTAAATTTAGCGAATGTTATGTTTTATTTATCGCACGTGGTTATAAATCCCTTAAGACCGGCTTAAGCAGAATGCAATATAAAACATAAAATATGGAAACATTCGAAGAAGTGTTGCTACGGCGGTTCTCGTGTAAAAGAATAACTTAAAGTACCACAAACACAATGGTATCGTATGAACAGAAATATAGCATCTCTGAATTTTTGTACGGGTCGACTTTTAAATTCATCCGGTATAACAGGTTACCTAGCTTCATACAGAAAGCCACCATATCGAAGAAATCGATGTTAGTCATCGATAGACCGTGCTTATTTTTCAGTTATGTCCAGTATACGCATAAATAATCCACCCTGGCCTAACCCTATTACATAACAATGGTTGGTGTCAGAAGTTGGATTATATCAAATACTTTTAACCGAGATCCAGAAATTCGTAAAGAAAAACGTTAAAAATGAAAAGCATGTTCGAGGATTGATTTATTAAAAAGTTCATGGCCCGATGTACTTCCGGTAGTCAGAGAACCCAACCACTGGTCTTACTTTTCAATATAATCGCCCTCTACATCAATGCATTTTGCCCACCTGTGCTCCAACTTGTTTAACCCTTCAAAATAGAACTCTCTATTTTGGTCCTCAAAGAACTCATTGACCGCCTTCATGACACTTTCATTGCTTCCAAAACGTCTACCACGACGCTTTGTTTTCAGTTTCGGAAACAGGCAGAAGTCAGAGGGGGCCAAGTCCGGAGAATATTGGGGATGGGGAAGAATTTCAAAGCCGCAGTCAGTTGCAGCAGCCATCGCAACTTGGGATGTGTGAGCTGGCGCATTGTCGTGCAGGAGCAGAACGCCTTGAGTGAGTTTACCCCTCCTATTACGCGCGATTACCTGACACAAACGTCTCCATTCGTCTGCATAGTACGTACCGTTTATGGTTCGACCTTGCTCAAGATAGTCAATCATGATTATCCCCTAACCATCCTAAAAAATTGAAGCCATCATCATCCCTGCTGATGGCACCCTTTTGAATTTCTTCGGAGGGGTGAGCCAGGGTGCTTCCTCTGCATGCCCTTTTTTATTCTGGATCGAAGTGATGGACCCATGTTTCATCCTGAGTTTTGATCCGGTAGATACAATCAGGTATATCCTCGTAGCGAGACAAAAGATATCTTGAAATGTCAAGCCTGGTCCGTTTCTGGTCGCCAGTCAACAGTCTTGAGAACCATCTAGCGGAAACATTTGACATGCCATAGACATCCGTCAGAATTGCCTGAAATGAACCAAAGCTTATACCCATTACCTTAGCAAAAAAGTGGCCACCAATGATAAAGCTGCCGAAGCTGTGGACGATCTGGTCATCTGCGACAGGAGACAAGATCTGTGAAGCATTGCTAGGGAAGTGGGTAAAAGCTTTGGTTCAGTTCAGGCAATTCTGACAGATGTGTATGGAATGTCAAAGGTTTCCGCTAAATGGTTCTCAAGACAGTTGACTGGCGACCAGAAACGGACCAAGCTTGATATTTCAAGATATCTTTGGTCTCACTACGAGGATGAACCTGATTTTATCTACCGGATCGTAACTCAGGATGAAACATGGGTCCATCACTTCGATCCAGAATCCAAAAAACAGAGCATGCAATGGAAGCACACTGACTCACCCCTTCCGAAGAAATTCAAGAGGGTGCCATCAGCAGGAAAGGTGATGGCTTCAATTTTTAGGGATAGTCAGGGGATTATCACGATTGACTATCTAGAGCAAGGTCGTACCATAAACGGTACGTACTTTGCAGATGAATTGAGACATCTGTGTCAAGAAATCGCGCGTAAAAGGCGGGGGCAAACTCACTCAAGGCGTTCTCCTCCTGCACGACAATTCGCCAGCTCACACATCCCAAGTTGCGATGGCTGCTGCAACTGACTGCGGCTTTAAAAATTCTCCCCCCATCCCCATATTCTCCGGACATTGTCCCCACTGACTTCTACCCGTTTCCGAAACTGAAAACCAAGCGTCGTGGTAGACGTTTTGGAAGCAATGAAAGTGTCATGGAGGCGGTCAATGAGTTCTTTGAGGGCCAAAATAGAGAGTTCTATTTTAAAGGGTTGAACAAGTTGGAGCATATGTGGGCAAAGTGCATTGGTGTAGAGGGCGATTATATTGAAAGGTAAGACCATTGGTTGGGTTCTCAGACTACCGGAAGTACATCGGGCCATGAACTTTTTTATCAATCTTCGTATATTGCCTTAAAGATTATCCCCTACTACACCGATCAATCGGACTAAAAATTAAGTCATTGTCAGCCCTGAAAGCTTTTTTTTAATTTAAAGTTGTAGATTAAAACCTATGTAAAGTGGTCATCTGGACGTCATTTTTCTATGGCTACAGGTTTGTGACGAGAAACATTTTTCTATTGCACTGGACTGGCCAGTCCCTAACAAAACCGTAATATACAAATTAATGAATGAATGAAAGAACCAATGATGTGAAAAAACTAATGACAGAAGTGTCCGTGTCGGTCTTAATGTTCAATTGCGGGGAGGATAATTATTCAAACATTATAGGAAGAGGGTCGGGGATAAAGGGACATATTCATGTGTGTCAGAACATGGAGACCTATAAACAGATAGCTATAAATAGCCGACTCAAATGGCTTGCATGACTTTCAGGACATTATCAAAATAATAAAAGAAACACACCAGGTATAAATATAATAAGCTTTTAATATAAACAAATATTTTTTGGTCAAAACAAAAACATGTAAACATAGATCTATAAAAGAAATCATACGTCTCTTCTAATTTCTAGATATTGGATTTTTTTCTCTAACTTTTGCTAAAAACATATGACTTAAATATCTCTTTATAAGTATAATTTGTTGTACAGATTTTGCATTGGTAACAGAGATATTATCGTAGTTTGTGTTAAACACAGAATACATACATATACGTACACATAAATAAAAATATAATATCAAATGTTATACTAGTAATATATGACCTTACAAACACATTTAATCTTTTGCATATTGGGCATATTAGACTGTTTGTTAGGGCTTCTATGGTCGCTTCCAAATGAAAGGTTAAATGGGTACTTAATGTGTTAAACACAGAACACATACATATATGTACACATAAATAAAATATAATACTAAATGTTATACTACTAATATATGACCATACACATACATCTAACTTTTTGCATATTGGGAAAATTGTCGTATGCTTAAATGTCATCTGCTTTATTTTTGAAATTGTATCCAATTTCCTCGAAATGTAAATTTGACTTAAAAAGCACGGAACCTTATAAGACGCCAAACCGTTTCTTAAAGCTTCTATGATCGCTTCCATCAGGGTTACTGTATATGATTTGTATTTAATTATAATTATATATACATGATTTTAAATAAATGCAAATCGTATAACCCTGAGTAGAGGTCCAAATATATATCTATTATATATTATGTATATATAATGTGCTTGGATTTATAAGCGACGGAAATTGGTTTCAAATGTTAATAATATTACCATGTCACGTACATCTATAGATGTTAATATCTGCAATGCTTGGAAAGCGACGTCTGGTAGACATGTCGTTTGCTTAATTTTTCAATTGTATCCAGTTTTCTTCAAACTAAATAAAATGATTGTCAAACAGCTGAATACCTGACAAAACAGCTAAATACTTGCATTTAGCGTCTTGACTTGAATATCAAGCTGTATACATAGTCTAGTATGATCACGCATGTTAAAGGTTAATAATTGGGTACCAAATATTTACATATAAATAAATGCACAGCACATATAGATTGTGAGCAAAAATACAAAAAAATATACGATGAGGATTTATCAATAAATAGAAAAGAAATCGGTGGAAATGGTATTGTTATTTTATCATTTTTGTACAACATGCTCGTAAAAAGATTGATTAGTAATTTAATTTATTATAAATTAAATTCAACTAAAACTTGTAACATCAAGCACAAGTCAACACTTTTATACTCGAAAATGTCATATATTCAACACTGGTTTCCATAGCGACCATCAAGTTCCAATTATCTAAGTTTATACAAATTTCAATAGCTGCAGGGTATATTATATACTATATAATAGCTCTATATTTGATATAGGTATTTGATATATTTAATTCATCAAGTAAGGGATTTGACATTTCAATAACTGTTAAAACATAGTAAAAGAAATCACAGCTGGCGATTTTAATTGTATCAAATTGTTTCCACTTGGAGTTTAATCTCATAGGGATGTCTCCGTGTCCAAAACGTAAAAAAAATAAAAAATGATATTATTTGTAACGACCCTGATAAAAAATGTACGGAGCGTGTGAGCGTTGAGACTCGTCATAAGTGGGCGGCGCAATATGTTGTGACGTCACATTGTGCATCGGCGCAGACGGCTGAATATATGCTTGCCTATTGTCATAATACGCGCTATTAATACCACCATTATTCTGGTTTTGCTGGAATGAATCAAATGCATGGTTTTCGCGCGCGAAAGAATTTGAACTGGCAATGTTTCTATTCCCAGCAGCGTTTCTGTCTGCCCTACTTCTGTGAGGGGTGTGACGCATAAAAAAGTATAGCATAACAAATGCAAACACTGCAACTACCATCATACCACCAATCACGATTCCCAATACAGACAAGTCGTCTGCTTCACCTTCTGGAGATTCTGTAGATTCCTCGCAAATTCCTATAGATGATAAATACAAACATTTGAGCCGCGTCATGACAAAACCAACATAATGCGTTTGCGAAGAGCATAGATCCAGACTAGCCTGCGCATCCGCGCAGTCTGATCATGATCCATGCGTTTCGCTATCAGTTTCTCTACTTATTACAGGATTTGTAAGCGAACAGCATGGATCCTGATCAGACTGCGCGGATGCGCAGGCTGGTCTGGATCCATGCTGGTCGCAAACGCACTATGTTGGTTTTGTCATGGCGCGGCTCATTTATGACAGTAAAAATACATGTAATTATTTTTCTGTTTGACACACTTTCAAGGATATATGGCGACTTCCCTGCTTTACTGGTGGAGGTACATCTTAGCCTCTCAAATGCCTATTCGCATATTATTTCTGGCAACAACCGGGCTCCTGAGTAGAACCACCGACCTTTCGTAAGCTAGCTGGATATCTTTTTTTTCACATGAAAGAATCCAGTATCTCTGGCATGATTTGATCCCATAGCGGTAAGGGACAAGTAGCTTCAAGTCAACAATCATAACCATCTGGTCCCAGACGCCCCTCTACATATAATAATAATGAAAATAGATAAATATTATAAATAACTGAAATGACAAATTGTTGGTTTAATTTAAGAAGCACTACAAAGTCAATGTTCTGATCATGTTAGCCCATTTTGAATAAGGAAACTATTTTTTCATGTTTAACAGAACAGGCATTTTATAAAGGTATATATACATGTATACCATATCAGTACATTAATATGAATGATAAATATAAATGTATATTCATTTAACACTTGAAAACAGCCAGAAATACAAATACCACATGTCAACGTACAGACCCAAAGCAATGTTTATATGAAATAAATTCTCGCATCAAATTGCATGAGCCCAAAACACAAGATATGCAATACAGTAATGTAACAACAAATTTACGTTCTTTGTTAAACAAATTACCTACAAAAGCCAAACACAACGAAATACATGATGAAAATGTAACATTAAAGTTTCAAGTGAATGCCGATAAAGTTTAAAGACATAAATATGCCTCAGAAATGCGTTTATTTATATTTCTCAAAAACTTTTAATTTTGGTGTACTATTTTAGTATCCAAAAAATTACTCATTTGCCGATTATTTGGACCATCTGTTGCTTTTTGATAATAAGTACAGTTACAGTGAATAAGTATTTCGTATGAAAGTCAAAATACTACTTTGTTTACAGTTTGCTACTTTTATGACAAATAATTTCACATTCATCGCTACTTTCTTCAGGTAACAAGCATCTCACATTCTCTACAATCAATATCTTAACATAATAAAATTCATATTTGTCCTTTCTTAAGAAGTAAAATTTATTTGTTTCTGAGGCAGAATGTGCCTTTAAAACATAAGCTTATAGTTATTAAAATATTAAATCGATCTTAATCAATATCCACCGGTCGCTTTGTTCCAAAACGGTCTGTATTAGAACAATCCCCATTTACGTCACATCCGGAAAGGGCGGTAACTTTTCCGCGACACTGATTGCATATTGGAAAGATAACCAGTCTGTCAAAAGTTACACCGGATAATATTGACAGATTGTTCATTTCTCTCTTGTTTTGAGACATCAATCAATTACCTTTCTTTTTTTGCAATGTTGAGCATGTGTGAAAATAATTCTTTTCTTTTTTGTCTTCAATCTGTTTGTTTGATTGTGTTTTTTAACGTCACACCGACACAGTATAGGTCATATGGCGACGTTCCAGCTTTACTGGTGAAGGAACACCTCAGGTGCCCTTCCGTGTATTATTTCAGGCACGAACGGGCACCTGAGTAGAACCACCAACGTTCCGTAACTAGCTGGATAGCTTTTCCTAACAACAGAAAGATCCGAAAGTCACTGTCGGATTCGAAATCCCACAGCGGTGAGCAGTGGTTTGAAAGTTCAACGACCTTTAAAACCACTCGGCCAAAAACCCCCTCTTAAAATCTGTAAAGTCCTTAAGTTAGAAAAAGAACAAAATACCTGTATGTGCACTTGTGATAAACCTTCAATTCCAAGTAGCCAGTTTTCTTGTCTAGTACAATATGGTGAAGCTAGAGGTTTAACATCTTTGCCTTTTGAACACCAACTACATCCAGATATTCCGTGACAGCCGCTAAAAAACATTAGTTGCGTTTATACTGGTGGCAATCATGTTTCAAAAACGACCTTGATAAAATCGATTACTACATACTTTTTTCAATATTGCTGTTCATTTATCTAAGACTATGTGGGGGGAAATTTAAGATATTTTAAGGAGCTTATTGTAGCTCTCGGTCCAATTCCTTTCTGCTTAAATTGTAGATTATTAACATTTATATATTACATTGAATAAAAATATGTTTAAACTAAAGATCTTTTAACTTCTTTTTTAATTGACCAATATTATGTAATTAACACATCATTGTGTCAACTCCAGAACTGGAAAATTACCCCCTAGGTACTGATATATATGTTACCTAATGTGATATAAGAAATATCTCGCAGGCAATGTTCTCAATGAGAGTGAAACTAGTATTCACGAGCCGAGGGTGATACAACAAATTGTCAGCCGGAGAACAATCCTCCATGAGGGTTTAATTCATGAGGCGAAGGAGATATAACAAAATTCTCCTAGAGGGTAGTCTCTATGAAGGTGATATTTATTAACTGAGGGTATTATAACAATTATATCCGGGGAATATTCTCTTTGACAATGACATTCATGAGCCGGGGAATATTCTCTATGTGAGTGATATTCATGAGCCAAAGGTTATATTGCAAGTATCTCTCGAGGAATATTCTCTTTGAGAGTGATATTCATATATTCATGAGCCGAGGGTGATGTAACAAATATTTCAAGGGGGGTATTCGAGGGTGATATTTGATAAGAACGAATTATAGGTCTATGAGAGTTTAACTATAAAATATATATTCAGATATATATTTTTAATGAAACTGTGTGTCCAAAATATTAATTATCAACTCATTATAGAGAGAAAATATACCTCATGGACGTCTGTTTTTCGCATTCTGTTAGGAAACATCTTTGAATACCCTTGATCTTCTCCACTTCAGATATACTTTCTGTCTCCAGCGCTGGGGTGCGAGGTGCGCAAGTTGGCGCTGCATCTCTAAAGAATATATGAGCCGCGTCACAACAAAACCAAAATAGTGCGTTTGCAACCAGCATGGATCCAGACCGCGCAGTCTGATCAGGATCCATGCTGTTCGCTATCAGTTTCTCTACTTGTAATAGAGTTGGTAAGCGAACAGCATGGATCCTGCACGGATGCGCAGGCTGGTCTGGATCAATGCTGGTCGCAAACGCACTATGTTGGTTTTGTCATGGTGCGGCTCTTATAATATATGTGCTCAAAGAATGAATATAAACTTATTACAAGTTCTCACACTATAAAGCAATAAATCAGCCTTCCTTGAATGAGTGGGGCTATTATGTTTTTGTTGGGTTTTAAGTCACATCGACAACTTAAATGTTATATTGCACTGCCCAACTCTCCCTCCCCAGATTATCTGGTCAAGGAACACCTCAGATGCCCCTTTAATTTGTGAATTACTTTTGGCTAAGCCGGGAACTGTCTATAGCCACAAACTTTCCGTAAGCTTGGTGGATAGCTTCGGCACATGAAAAATACACGCACAAGTCCCTGACTAGACACGAACCCATTGCGGTGAGGGACAAGTGATTTGAAGTCTGCAACCTGAACTTCTCGGCAATAATGAGATTGTGTTTCGACTGTGCCAGGAGTCTACGATATCTGTATTAAGCCATATCAACCTTTACGCAGATGCAGACTGCCCAGACATATAATCCTGTTGATGGCTTGATTGAAGCATTTTGATTTTGAGAGCCTTTGGATTGGAAATAGACAGTTCATTAGCCAAAGCAAGACTAAAATAAATGTAAACATTAAAGACCCATCAGCCAAAGAAATGAATAAATCGTTTTGGTTTTTTTTGCAATAAAAGAAAACTTGTGTTTAATTATATTATTGTTGACTTAGAACATGTGAAATGCTTAAACCATCAGAAGAAAATGCTGTATGTGACATAATTTGTCATAATGGAAGGAAGATGTAAACAAAATGGTATTTTGACATTAACATTTTTGAGACTGTTACAAGGCACAAAAACGAAAAGCATTGTTTGAGGCTTATTGGACCTTTAAAGTTTCTGTATGTTGTAAATTAAATATGTAACATATACAAAAAGTATAAACGGTTACCTTTCAACAAAATATAAACATTTACATACAAAAACTTTCATATTTATATGACAGTTGCTTGTAAAATATCATTTTTCTTAAAAATTATTTCTTATTTCATTTTACTTAAGTAATTTCTTATAACAAATCAATTTCTTATTATAATAGCATATACATATTTATTTTTAGTACAGGGCTGTTTAGAATGTACCAAGTTATATGCTATTAACATGTATACTTACGCAAGTAGCTCGTATTCGTTCAGACAGTAGTTAAAATTAGTGGTCGTATAGCAGAGGCAGTCGCATTTGGACCTTTTACATGCTAACACACTTGGCGATTGTCCGTACGTCTGAAATATATTGTTGTTGAAATAAGTACAAAGTGTTCGTATATGAAGCAAGAAAATATATATAAAGAAGGAAAATCATTTTTGCAAAAAATAACGCTTGCATTTGAAAATTTGCTTATCGAGTAATATATAATTCAAATTTTCATGCACATATAAGAAGGCGGCAAATTATAAAGAATGCCACTATGTTTTTCAAGACTTCTATTTAGAGGCTATTTCCTATTGCAAAAGTTATGTTCAATCCGATACCGATATTATCATTTTTTTATATATAAATGTCCTTAATCTGGGCTACAATTTGCAAGCCGTCCGGGTGTGAATCGGGCGACCCTGGTTCGATTCCGGACGGCGCATGTCACTTTCGTTGTGATTGATCATGAAATCCTTTCTACGGTCATCCGCACTGTACCTCCTGCTCTG